GGGCTTTTTGGGGGGTGAGTGGGGAGTTAATTTCCTGATTCTTAGTTCTATGCTAGATAACGATACTGCACACTTATAAAGCATGTTAAAGTTTACAGCTGTCAGGTAACTAACTGACTGCTAGACAAGTGAAGTGCTGATACTTTCTTCAGGGGGCTACATAATTTCATGGGTGTGGATAGCCTCTTCATTGATGTACATTACAAAGACTAAAGCTGCCTTCTTATCCTGATTTTGATACATGCTTTCCTACAAAATCCTTCTTAGCAGATTAAACCAACAGGTGGGAGGCCTTCCTCTTGTTCTTTTCATATCGCAGAGGTATCAACAGGAAACTACTTGTTTCTCATTCTCACTATAAAATCAGCAATTATACATCTTTGTTAGTGTCTTGTATACCATTTTAAATGAAAGTCATTGTAAATGTGCATTTGTATCTCCCATGCATCTTTACATTTCCTTGTGGATTATTTTTTAGTTCTAAGATTATAGTATTCTGCAAATCACAGTCACTAATGAAAGAATATTTTACAATTAAAAATAATTTGGCCAAAAGATAGCATACAAAATTGAATGAGAAAAAGATCTCTGCCTTTGTTGATTTAACTGATATTCTATAATGACATCATTAAAATCAAACCAAGATATAGGTAACTTTTTTTTTTGGAGTGGTGGGAGGGGGTCAGGGGTCTCTGGATCTGTGATTTTATCAATATAGGGAAATCTCAGTACAGAAACTGCTCCATGGATGCATAGCTGGAATGTATGTTGTTAGAGTTGTCCTAGGGCACTAAGAAGTGACTTGTATAGGGTCACACAACTGTGTCAGAAGCAGTTCTTCAACTGACGTCTTCCTTGCTCTAAAGTAGGTCCTTTACTTACTATTATATGTTGCCTCTTAAGCCATTTAGTAGCTATGTGGCTTTGGACAAGTCACTTAAGCTCTTTATGCCTCAAGTTTCCTTCTACTCATCATAAGAGAGAGCATTTATGTAGCACCTGTAGTTCTAACCACTGTACTAAGCACTTCAATAATAATAAAAGTTAACATTTATATGGCACATAGTAAGACACTATGCTAAGTATTTTACAAGTATTATTTCATTAATCCTCACAGCCCTAGCTATTACTATCCTCATTTTACAATTAGGAAACTGAGGCAAATAGAAGTCAAAGTGACTTGCCCAAGGGTCACACAAAGAGTAAGTGTCTGAGGATGGATTTGAAAGCCCATCTGTAAAATGAGGATATGGGGTTAGATTAACTCTAAGATCCTTCTGGGCTCTAACCCTACCATCCCTATATCTCTTAGAAGTGATATTATTTATGGTTGTTAAGTTCCCAGACAAGTTTGGAAAAGCCTACTTAATCCACAACCTAGCTGAAAATAAGAGTAATCTTTAGCCTCCCGTTCCCCTAAAGAAGGCAGGGGCTAAAAGCCCTAGAGATTAGGCAGAATAGGGAGAAAGCTCTAATGGCAAGGAAGGAGGGAGGGCAGTTGATGAAGTCTCAGATAATTCCCACTGCAAAGTGTGTGGGGGGGCCAGTGCATTAATAGTAAGTATAACATACTAAATGGGCTAGTAACACTCATACAGAAAGATTTGCCAAAAATTCCTTCACTATGTTGTAGTTTTATTTTCCAATTAAAATAAAAGGAAATTACTGAAAGGCAAGGTTTCTGAAGAAAATATTCATATATTCATGTTGAGACTTATGGTAAAAAAAGTCAATGCTTGTTTTCAAATCTTTAATACATTACAGTTTTTAGAAAATAATAGAATTTTCACTGGCATTGACATTTCACCCATAAAACAACTGATTTAGCATCAGAAGAGGTATCCTTTTGGTTAATTCTCAAGCTATCTAAATTTTTCTCAATTTGTTATCTTCAGATAAAGCACAACTCATTTTATTTTTTCATTGTTAAAGAACATAAATTAAGAGTTAATTTTTAAAAATGCAATGATAATTTAAGTAACCAAAATATACCATGTATCTTTCATATACCTATTATTTAACATGAGTTATTTTTAAAAAAATTTTTAAATTTTAAATTAAAATTAACATTTTTAAATTTTAAATTAAGAAAGCAAAGCACCAAAAACCAAAAAGACAGGCTACCAACCTGACCAGTGATGGATAGTGCAAATAAGCAAACATCCAGATATACGCATATGTATGTATATACATACACATGTTTATTTGGGCCTATGACTTCACTGTTATGGGGAACTCTGATGAGGAAGCTCCCTCAGCCAATGCTGAATGACAACTGGTCTGCATCTTAGAGTCCTAGAAAGCTTCCTGGAAGCACAGAAGTGAAGAGACTTGCCCATAGTCACAGAACCACAATGTGTCAGAGGCTAGACAGCTATCTTTCTCTCACACTGCTTCTCATATATGCCTATGTATAAACAGCTAGCTGTTGAGCTACAGACACACACCTAGATAAATATGGGAGTACTGATTTTCATACCAGAGGTATCTGAAATTTTGTTGGCTTTGGGGACTGTCCACCGACAAGATTACAACTCCTCTAATATGTAGATGCTACAGCCAAAAAAATTGATTACCAAGTGATGAGCACAATATGCATATTATACATATGAGTATGTAAAATGTGTGCATGTGCATGTACACATATACAATTCAATAATTTAAACTACTCATTTAAAAACAAAAGTTAGAGTCACAGAATTTCAGTTGCAGAGTGACAACCTAGTCCAATATATATTGGAAAAAGAATTTCCTCCCAAGCATGCTTGAAGATTGGTCATCCAGCCTTTGCTTAAAAGGCCATGATGGAACCCACAATCTTTCTGAGCTAGCTCTTTCCAGTTTTAGATCACTCTGATTGTTAGAAGGGGCAGCTAGGTGTCACAGTGGATAGAGTGCTGGGCCTGGAGTCAGGAAGACTCATTTTCATGAGTTCAAATCTTAAGATACTAGCTGTGTGACCCTGGGCAAGTCACTTAGCCCTGTTTGTCTCAGTTTCTTCATCTGCAAAATGAGCTAGAGAAGGAAAGAGCAATTCACTCCAGTATCTCTGCCAAGAAAATCCCAAACGGGTCAAGAAGAGTCAGAGATAAATGAACAACAAATGTTAGAAAGTTTCTTCCATCAAACCTAAATTTGCCTCTTTACATCTTCCATCTGTTGCTCCCAATTTTGCTCTCTGGGGTCAAGAAGAACAAATCTAATCTCTCTTGTACATGACAGCCTTTTAAAAACCTGAAGAGAACTATCCTATTTCATCCAAGTTTTAGCCTTTTGCAAGTAAAACATTCCCATTTCCTTTAACCAGTCCTCATACGGCATGAACTAAAAACACTTTACCATCCTTGGCTGTCTTTCTCTGAATGCTCTCTCATTTCCTAAAATATGGTGCCAAGAACTGGACACAACATAGGTGTCTCCTAACCAGAGCTAAGTAGACTACAACTATCATCTACTTACTCCTGAAAGCTTTTTCTCTCTTAAAGCCCACTATCACATTGTCTTTCTAGATTGCTGCATTATGCTGAAACTCTACTTGACTATGCCTGTACATCCCAAACACTCTGGCTTCACTGATTGGCCAATAACATGTCCTTGCCCAAGCTTTACTTGTTCATTGTTTGGGCTTTGATGGCTCAGAGTGATTATAAATAGTAATTTTTTCTGTTCCGGCCAGAAACTCTAAGGGTCTTCACCCACCACACTGATTCTTCTGTGAAGGCAAACCAGGCCACCTTTTGCATCAGTTCTTACCTAGCCTTTAATTACTGAATCGGCTTTGCTTCAGACCAACTGAGACTTGAGAAAGTCCTTAGTTTAAAAAGGTCAAGGTCTCCCACTGCATCTGGGGCCAGTGCCAGAAGTCTTGACTTGAGTCTTGCTACTGGACTTCAATGACTCTGGAGGAGTGAGGCCGACGACTTTGCACAGCCCTGCCTTACTTAAATCCTATTTACTTGCAAGTCAGAATACCACCCTCCTGAAGTCATAGCTCCTCTTCAAAAAAAAAAAAAGACAAACAATAATTCATATTTAACTTGTAGCTTACTCAAAGCCACAGATCTTTTTCATATGAAATGTTTGTCTAACCATACCTCCTCAGTCTTATATTTGCAAATTTAACCTGTGTAAAACTGTACATTATCTACATTTACACTGAATCAATATAAAACTGTATGGTATCTAAATTTAATTTTATCTCATATTCAATCAAATGTCTTAGGCTAAGATCTTTTTGGATCTTGTATCTGGTGTGGTAGCTCTCCTTCTTCCTCTCCCCCAGCTTTGTGTCACTTGCATGTTTGATATGCAAACATCTATGCCATTTTCCAAGTGACTTCACTGCCACAGTGTTAGTCATCAGTTATAATCCAATCTTGACTTCTGATTTTATTAATCTTCACCTAGACACCAGAAGCAATGTAAATACAAAAAACCCTTTCCCCTTTCCAGTAACTTCTGGTTAGCTCCATAGGTGACCTTGAGTGGGCAATCTATACTCTGAGGCAGTCGCTGGTAAGACCATCACCCCTTACTTTTAGCTCTTCAGTGGGAAGAGGAGGACACATGTGTTGCAATATTCATAGATTCCATTACATTATCTTTCCTGCTAAACCAACGCCTCTTCTAAACTTCCTTATTTCCACAGAAGATACATTTCCAGTCTCCAAGGTTCATTATCCCTGACTCCTCAATTTAAAGTGCTATCTTCAAAGTAACCAAGCATCTCCTAATTGCCAAATTTGGTGGCATTTTCTCAACCCTCATCTTTCTTGTTCTCTTTGCAACATTTGATACTAGAGACCACACTCTCCTCTTGCATACTTAACTCTCTTCAGTTTGCAGAAAATTATATAAGTATGTCAACTACAAAAACATGTGTCATATATTTAAAAAATTGGAAACAAATTTCTAACCTGTTTAAAAATCTTCCAAATTTTGTTAAATACATAAAAATGTAATACCTGATTAATTTGCAAGAACAACTGAGTGACATTAGGGAAGATTATTAGCTGAATTTTAATAAAAACCTTTGTATAACTAGTGGATGGGATTGACAAATAAGCGCTGTGATTTTATAAGCCAATGGTGTACTTCTTCCACATAGAGCTATATATCTTTGTGAAGTATTTTTTTTCCAGCCATAACAGCCATTAAAACTAAGTAACGAAATAAAATGAAGTTAGAACCAAGACTTCTGAATTACTATCACAAAATAAGCCAAAATTTTTTTAATATCATTAACAATTATTAATAATTTGGGAAGAGGACTGTTTTTACTGTTCACAAATCAAATTTTTTCATTTTTTGTTTTTGTACAACCTTTAGAATGTGTATTTTTGTGTAAATTTATGTATGATTTTTCTAAGCAAATATACACATACTAAGTGTATACATTCAAAAATCATTTACTGATAGAGGTATATGATCAAAAACTCTGTAGATAACAAGTCTAAAGATACAATTAATCTTCATTTCCAAACTATCTTTACTTCCTAAAAGATCATTAGGCAAGTTTGAAAGAAAAAAAAAAGTTACAAAACATGACAGAAGCAATTTCAGATGTTGCTTAAGTCTGGTTACGAGGTAATATATAACAGTAATGAGTAACATAATGTAATAGTAATGAGGTAATATATAACAGTAATGAGTAACATAATGTAATAGTAATGAGGTAATATAATAGTAAAGGCATCTAACTTTATATAGAACTTTAAAGTTTGCAAAGCACTATGTATACATACATACATACATATGTGTGTACACACACACACACACACACACACACACAATCTCATGAGCCTCATAATAATCCCATAAGCTAAGTACTACAGGTATTACTCCATTTTACAGATGAGGAAACTAAGGCTCAAAGAGGTTAAGTAATGTGATCATACAACTAGATACAAAAGAAATACAATCTCTTCTTATTCCAAGTGTTTTGTCAAATATATTATGGAAATTGCCTATAATGGGCCATGATTTCAAAATAATGCAAATAGCCAAAAAATATTTAGCAAATGTAATCTATGGCAACCAGTGGTGATGCAGAAAGGGCACGGGATTTGGAACTGGAGTAGCTGGGTTCAGATCCTAGATATTACTTATTAAAAATTACTTTTTTACTTTAGTGATCTGGGATAAGCCAGTGAACCTCTTGGGGCCTTTAGTTTCCTTATCTGTACAAATGAGGAGGTCAGATGAGATGATTTATGAGGCAGTGTGATGTAGCGAAAAGAGAACTAGCTTTGGAGTCACAGGACCTGGTTCAAATACGTCTTCTGATACATACTGGCTATGTGACCTTAGGCAAGTCACTTAACTTTCCTGGGGTTGCTTAGCAATCTTGAAAGAATTGGTCTAGAAGGCTTCTAAGGGCCATTCCATCTATGACCCTGTCAGCTGAAAAGTTCTGTCCATCTCTAAATATGACCCTGTGACCCAAGGTTATTATAAAGGCATCCACATGCTATTAGGGTATTTTTTATAGCTCAACTTCTTTGCAGGAAAGAACATTCTTACTAGTTGTTATTCAGGAAAGTAAGCAAGTAGCCATTAACACTTGAGCGTAAGCCAAAAACAAATCCTTATTTCAAATGAAATTGTTTAAAAAAAAAATCTAAAATTGGTTAAGTTCAAACTAATGACACTTTTATTTTCGAGGTGTAGTAGAATTGACACACTAAATTTGATACAACGTAGCTTCCAGGGATTAGTGTCTTAATCATGTCTTTAGAGAGATTTGAAATAGTGACTCTGACACGCATTCTTAGGTATTACCTATTTTGCTTAAAGAAGGTGGATTCTATTTCTAAGGAGCATTTACTTCTGACATTTCGATCCCTGACTTCAGTGGCTGCAGACTCCGCACTTCTATGCCACACTTGGGACAAGTGAAGTACATGTCAAACAAGTAGCTGCTTTTAACACAATAATAACAAAACACATGTATACAACCTATGGTATGAGGCATAGTGGGCCACTCTCCACAAAGGGAACATTCTTTGCCATGGGTGGCTAATTTATTATCACTGTTAGGAACACCTGTGATGGGGATACACCAAGATGACAATTTGCCTTTCAACTTTTGGATATTAATAAGTGGTAAGAGAAAGATCAGAAATTCTGCAAAACCATGCCACAAAAGTTCCCTGTTCATGTACTCAAAGCCAACTTCTCGAATGTTTTGGGGTTTGCAAAATACAGATCGAATACCTAAGAGACGCTCTGTCAACGTAGCAAACTTTCCTTTTTGAAGGAAAATCAGGAAATTAACCAAACTACTTAATTTCAAAAGTCCAACAATGAAATTAGTACACTGTTTGATCTTATAGAATGATGCTAAATGGTGGTTATGGAACAAATCATAACATCTTTCTTCTAACCACCTTCCTCCAATTGTGCAAATAGCATACCATAACTTTTGATTTTTACTTAATGGCTGATATTTCTGAGTTTGAGAAAAATCATTCTTGTACTGGATGTTCATAATTGACTGTCCCACAGTGGCATTCTTGGAGTAAATGGTGAATCTCCATAAGAAAAGCCACAAAAATGCTTTTACCTCAGGTTCAAACCGGGCTAAGAGCCCTGGCTTAAACCCATGAAAACAACGAGTAAACTGGGACCAAACTAATTGTTCCAGGGCTTTGTTCAGTTCCAGGGCATCCAGCTGACTTATTCTCAGTACAGGGTTTGTGTGCTCAGTATTCTTTCCACTGGAAGACATATCTTCTTTACTGCAGGACTCTGGTGAAAACAAACAAATAAGTCAACACACTCTAATTTATTAATGCTTAAATTTTGTAAAAGCATGATATTCATGTTTAGGACACTCAGGACAAAAACTATAGCTTTAAACAATGCAAAAATATACTATAGCAACGTAGTTACTATAATGTCTTCATTATAACTATATTCTTTCTTCTATCTCATATATTATATTTATATTCTATATATATGCATTATATGTACACACACACACACACACACACACACACACACTCACTCTTAGTTGGCTGTATTCTTTTTTCTCATTTTTGCTAGACAATGGGGTTAAGTGACTTGCCCACGGTCACACAGCTAGTAAGTATTATGTGTCTGAGGCCGGATTTGAACTCAGGTCCTCCTGAATCCAGGGCCAGGTGCTCTATCTAGCGTACCAGCTAGCTGCTCCGGCTGTATCCTTTTTCAACAAACCACTTCCAAGGCAGAAGTGTCCCATAAACTTTTCGCCAGACACTTTAACCATTACTATAAAAAAATTAAAATTAAGGCTACTTTCCAAATTACCTTTAAGTTGATTAATGGGAAAGTTTATCATTAGACTAATAACTGCAAACTATAACTTTTCACTGGGTAGTGAATCAAGACTAGAGTTTAATTTGTAGCTCTGGCATTTTTCCACATTTATATTTTTAAATGAACAATGTAATTTTTAATCACTATCCTTTTCATTGATAAAGGCAAGTGGCAGGGATAAGAGAGGTGAATGCCTATTTATCCTATCATGCTACTGTGAAAACTGACAAGGGGAAATCAATTCTTTTCAAAAAACAATCCAAATAAACATAGTAATATTATCACTAAAATACTAATAGGTACGAATTATATATGGGGAAAATTTTCAAGGGAATATTGAAAGTTATAGCACAACTGTTATTCAGAAATGTAGGGAACTATAGGGTCACTGGTATGGGGTAAAAAAGAGAACAAGTGTCAGGAATATTACAAATCACCAAAATGATGAGGTAGGGAGTCTTTTCCCTTATCTAGCCTACCCTTTTCCTCAAATTATAGTCCCTTACATAGTTAGGGTACTGATTTAGAAGCAGAGAAATATGAGGCACATATACTCACATAATCTGAAGGACAGTGACTCTGGCTTGGTCTGCTGTAATATGGCACTGTACTGGTATTCAATAGATAAGCATCCACATTTTGGCTGTATCACTGGAATACCACAGATTAGAACATCAGGATGAATCTAATAAGATGAAAATAGGGATAAAATTTTACACCTGAGTTTAAAAAATCAACTTTACAAGAACAAGACAGAAAGGGAAACATTAATTTACCTGAAAAAGACCTCAAAGTTTTAGGTAACTCAAGATCAGGCATCAATGATATGAAAGCCAAAAGGTAACACAAACTTCAGCTGCATTAATTGAAGCACAGCATCCAAGACTATGGAACAGTGCCTAACAGAGTGCCTGGAACACAGTAGGTGCTTAATAAATCTATACTGATTTACACACACACACACACACACAACACACACACACACACACACACACACACACACTTTCTTTCCAATTGCTTCCCCTATCCCTCATCCTACAGTGCATGCATTGATGGCTTCTGAACTTAAGAGTGAAAGAAAAGGGTGTATAAGAATTCTGTATAAGAACTCCACAGGTAGACTTCTGGTTGAGATGGTGACATTTTATACATTTATTTCAAAAGAAAAGAAAGCAAAAAATGTAAATGAATTGTTAAAAAATGAACAGAAAAAAATAGAGGACAACATTGGAATTACTATGTCAAATTTGAATTATACACACACAAAAAAATCACAATGACCCTAAGATGTCTGTAGTGGGAGAAATAGCAAACTGTACATGACAGACGTTTTCAGTTGGAAATAAAATCTCCTTTTTTGTTTTACTGTATATGTCCATGTTGGATGCTGCTTATTAAGTTTATAATAATAAAGAAAATTTAAAAGAAAACAAGGTGGCAATATTTTATAGAGCAGTCCAGCTCTCCCAAATACACTTCAGCAAATATATCTGAAAGGGCACCATAAAAATAATCATCAAGACCACCAAAAAGAAAAACAGCGAACTCCTCCATAGAGGTCAGGATCATACCAGCCAAAAGCCTATGAGTTCTTAGAGGATGAAAAGAGAGGTAGAAGGCGGCCTGAACTATTCTAAATGGTTTAGTGCAGACCCTCTAAACAGGAGGGGGAAAAGCCTGCAGTCTAAGACAGGACAGGCTACAGTGGGCCTGTATGCAACCTGTCCTCATGGAGCCTTAAAAATGTGGGTTCTCATACCCTCAATGTATCAGGTGAGGTGAAAGTTAGCACAACAGAGGGGATGTTATCTCTCACTTGCTGAAGCAGCAGGGAGGGCCACAGAGCCAGTCTCCATAGGTTATTGCTAAAAGAGACACAATAGGTAACAAGAGCCATGGAGCACTCAAATCCACAGTAGGAGATAAAGTGAGCTTAACAAGAAGGGATACAGGAGTTGGTATGGTGAAGAAGGAAGGGGTAGGGAAGCAGGGAAAGGGATGGGAGCTTTGCAAAGAAGCCTAAGACCAGGGTTATCTCCATCATTTGTTTAGGGCCTCTCAGGGCCAGAACTGGGCTCAGAACCAATTCCCAGTAGGGGATTTTGTCAATAACTGAATTGGTATTGGAGAGAAAGCAAAAGCTGAGATTGCAGCACACGCTGAAGCTTGGTACTAGAGACCCTTATCTAGAATTTTAGTGGTATCAAGACTATAGTGGAAAGAAGACCAAACAGGAACTGTACACTACATTCAAGAGTTCATGAAAAGGTAGAGATGGGACCTAACATAAAGTCCCATCACAGAAACTGAGGCTGGAGATAAAAAAAAGGAAGAGAAGTGGCAAACAAAATGAAGAAATATCATGAGTTACAAGAGGCCCAATAGATTAACCCAGAGGAGATTATATCTACAAATACAGTCAGAGAAAAGAAAAGCTTAGCCATAAGGACCTCAAGTGTGGCTGGAAGAAATGAAGCAATAGATGAATGGTTGAATAAATGGTAGTATATGAATATAATGGAATATTATTACACAATAAGAAGTGATAAGAAGGACATCTTAGGAGTAACCTGTGAAGTTATATATGAACTGATTCACAGTATAGGAGGCAGAGATTATCTTATTTAAACTTTGTATCTATGCCATTGTCTAGTACAGTGTTGTCCACAGTAGACATACAAGAGTAAGAATTAACTAAAAATGGAGTGTGCTGCCTCTACATGAAGTGGTTTCCTCCTCTCTGGAGTTTTTCAGGCAAAGGCTGGTTGACTCTTAATGAGACATATTGTAAAGAGGATTCTTTTTCAAATACATATTAGTCTAGATGGCCACTGAGGTCTCTTCTACCTACAAAATTCTACGATTTCATGAAATGTTAACTATATTCTGACCACTCCCATATTCTATCTATTTCCCTCCATCCATTTCACAGATATTCATTTTAATATTTAGCTCTCCCTCTTGTGCTCAAAAAGTGCACTTTCTTGGAGTTGGATTTTTCTCACCTCATATTCACTTTTCAAACCTTTGCAATTCGGCTTCTGACCTCATCACTCAATTGAAAATGTTCTCTCCAAGGTTATCTTTCTCAGTCCTTTTCCTTCTTGACTTTTCTGTATTTTTTGACCCTGTAAATCACACCTAGTCACTCTCCCCACACTGTATTCTCATGATACTACTCTCTCCTGGTTCTCTTTGTCCTTGTCTGACTGCTTTTCAATCTCCTTTGCAGGATTAACATTCACTTCACTCTCATACATGGGTGTGCCACAGGCCATTCTTCTCCATTTCCTCTCAGTGATCTATTTGCTACCAGTTTGTTCATGTGTGTGTGTGTGCGTGTGTGTGTGTGTGTGTGTGTGTGTGTACACAGTCCACCTGAATGTCTCACAGGAGCCTCAAACTCAGTACGTTCAAAATACAACTCATCCTTTCCCCAAATCCTCCCTTCTTCAATAATCTCTATTTCTACCAAAAGTACCAAAACTCTTCTAGTCATTCAGGTTTGCAACCTTAGAGCCATCCTTTATTCTTCCTTCTCCCTCATTTCTCACACCCAATCAGTTGTCTGGTCAATTCTATTACTGTACTCCAAACTAACGTATTTTACATTTGTCCCTTCTCTCCATCCACTCATCACTTTTTACCCTGAAAAATAGTAATAGTCCCCTAATTGTTTCCCTGTTTCTAGCCTGTCTTCTACAAAGATGACAAATTCTTAAGATGCAGATTTGACCATGTCACTATCCTGCTAAAGAAACTGCAGTGACTCCGCTGTCTCTAGGACAAAGTCCAAATCTCCTGTTTGACCCTTAAAACTTCCAACCTAATTTTTCAGACCTATGGCACATTGCAGACTTTGAGTTCTAGTCAGACTTACCCACTTCATTGCTCCCTTCCCTTGTCATTCCATTACTCCCCTCTGTGCCTTTTACCTGGAATGCACTCCTCCTTCATCTCTACCTCTTAAGAACCCTGAGCTTCAAACTACAGCTCTAGGTGTTATATCCTCCAGGAAGCCTATCCTGATCCCATCAGTTGTTAAATATCTTCTCCCTGGAAATTCCTTTGTATACAAGGTATCTCAAAGGTCTTAGTGAAGTTTTAAGTTTTAATAAACTTAAAACTACACTACGACTTTTAGGATACCCAGTGCTATGCATAACAGTATATAAGTTTTTTGAAGACAGGGACTATTTGATTTATGTTTTTATATCCTCAGTGACTGGCACAAGCAAATACTTAATAAATGCTTGTTGAACTGGACTGAATTGATTGTTACGATTTTAAGCTCACTGTACAATCTTACTAACCTAACTTGATTTGACCACAATTTTTTTGGGGGGGAATCCCACATTTTTCTTTACTCTAGACATGCTATCTCATGCTTTTAACATTTTCTTCCCCTCTTCCTGACCTTTTAAAATCCTAAGAATTAAGCCTTGGTCACATATTTCCAGTCAATACAAACTGGGGGAAAAAAAAGAGTCCAACCACCAACAGCTATTATCTGTTTGGCAAAGGAGACCCCAAGTCGGAGATATATGAAGGGAATGCTTAAGGCAAAAAGAAGACCAGATAAAAGGTATAATGTCTACCAAGGTTAGGGTGATTAACTTGTCACATAAATATGTTTAAGATAAAATGATCCTGCACTAAAAACTATTAAAAAGGTCTCCTGCTGACATTTTACCACCAGGCATGTCACGTTGCTTTTCTTTCACTGGAAAACAACTGAAAATCAGTTTACCAAGAATAGCAATATGTAACTTTTTAAAAAATAATACATGCTTTGTTTTATTTTGTCTCTAAAAATCAAAAGCACCTCTTATATAGCATATTCCATAACCAAAACAAATTAATGTATATCACTGAGGAAACAGGAATTTCTCAGGATGTATTTTAGAGCTTTTATTGAGTGTTGTACAAATTATGAATGAATATATTTTATTTAGAAACATGTTATTGACAGAAATTTATCAATAATAATGTGAATATTGTCAAGGGCCTGTCAATATTAATGTAATTATGATTAAGGGGATAACATGGATTTTAGCTATAATACCAAGTAACATCTCCTACATTGCTGCTATCAATATAAGCCATTATTATTGACTTGTTCCAAGACTCTCAGTATTAGATGTATTACCATTAGGCATATTTGTCAATGTGTACTGCCTACAAAAATTCTACATTCAAATTTACAAAGTCTGTAAACCTTGTCAGCAGAAATTCATGATTCCCAAATAACATCTAAGGTCTTATCTGTCCCACAACCTTCTTTGCTCCTGCCCCAACACATACTAAACAACACACACAAGCTATACTACTCCAATTCTACAATAATAAACTAATTTCTACAAAGGCATGCTCCTCTAACTCTTCTAGTAATCAAAGAGGATGAGCCTGAGCATCCCATTAGCCACTTCAGTTTTTAAAAAAGCTTAAGGGGAAACATACATATAACCAACCCTAATTTAAAGGATTGGGGATGGTTATGCAAATTTAATTTTGTGATTGGAGATTGCTAAGCTTCTTGCCCATACCCAAATATTTTATTTCCTTTGTGTAGTCAGATAGATTTACTGTCTATTGTATTGAAATCAATACTAATAAATGGGACATGCATCAAAAAGGGATTTAGCAGGACAGCTATTCCCAGGACACACTACAAACATGGGCATA